CCCGCCCTTCCCGCCCGTGAAGGCGCCCCCGGGCGCCGCGGCCGCCTCGTCCTCGCCGGCCGCCAGCAGGTCCCCGTCCTCCTTGCTGGGCTTGTGGTCCCTGCGCAGCGAGCGGAGCTTCTCGCCGGTCATGGCCGGCGGGAGCGCCCGCAGCGCTCGGAGCCCGCGGGGCCGGTCCCGCCCGGAGCCCCCGGAGCGGCCGCAGCTCCGCCCGCGCCTCACGGGCCTCGGCTCCGCGCCGCCATCTTCGGCCGCCGCTCTCGCGAGACTGCGCCGCACCGAGAGCGCGCGCGGGAGGAGCCACGGAGAGACCGGGAGGGGAGGGGCGGGATCCGCCCCCGCGAGCCTGAGGGGAGGGATGGGGATGGATCGGGATGGATCCCAGCCGGCACACCCCGAGGGGAGCGATCGGGGAGCGATCCCAGCCGGCACACCCCGAGGGGAGGGATCGGGATGGATCCCAGCCGCCACACCCCGAGGGGAGCGATCGGGATCGGGGATGGATCGGGATGGATCCCAGCCGGCACACCCCGAGGGGAGGGATCGGGATGGATCCCAGCCGCCACACCCCGAGGGGAGGGATCGGGGTCAGGGATCGATCCCAACCACCGCATCCTGAGGGGAGAGATCGGGATGGGGGGTCGATCCCAGCTACCACACCCTGAGGAGCGGGATCAGGAGTATATTCCAACGAACAGATCTTGAGGAGCGGCATCGAGGGTCAGTCCCAAAGGGCGCGCCCTGAGGGGCGGGATCGATCCCAACGGGCGCGCCCTGAGGGGCCGGACAGGGAGACCCCATGACTCTCTAAGCTGCAGTTCCAGCGCTCTCCCACCCTCCATGGAAAGTTCTTTGGGAAATGATGGGACCTGGACAAGTGTTCCTCCCAGGGAAAAACAGGACAGTCCCCCTGTCGCGGTGCGAGCCCTTGCAGGTGCAGTGTCAGCTCAGAAAGGACCTGTTTGTGCTGGAGCTTCCCAATTTCCCGCTGCACGTCCCGCTCCTGGGCCAGTTCTGCAAGTTTCTGCTTCCAATAGGGGATGAGTAATTGTAAAAATGATGATGTCCCGAATTCCTGGTGAATTGGACTTTTTAATAATTCTCCCAGGGAAAACAACCGCCAAGTTGCCAGGGAGACCAGACCTGCTGTGATAACAGAGTTACCTTCCTGGTGACCTTGTCTTTCCCGAGTTCACATCGTCTCCCTCATCCCAAGTGACCAAGAAGAATTCCAGGCAGATTTAGGAATTCCTGTGTCTGCTGCTTCCCACACAGCTTTTTACAGTCCTAATACAGAATTTGAAGTAATTCTAGGGAAAAAAGCCCCCAACAATTTGCTTTTGCTCTATACTCCTGTGGTCTTTCCAATGAGATTTTTCTGTCTCTCCGTGTTTTTTGAGGAAAGTCGAACCCATTTGCAGGCAGAATGTGAGAGGCTGGCACTGTGAGCAGTTCCTCGTCTCCCATGCTGGAAACACACAAGGGGCACAACTGGTCTTGTGGAATGGAGGAATTGGCTCAGGTTTTAGCTGATGTTGGAAGCCTCACGCTGCATTTTTAATTACTAGAGGCATGAAGTCACTGTTTACCAGCTTATTATGAGCTCCCTTATTCACCCCAGAAATGGAAGCAAGGCATTACTCACGGAAAGGGCTCTGGTGTTTGTAGGGAATCCCAACTGTGGGATTACTTTACACTTACAAATTCTTGAGAATGTTTTTTTTTGGTCTGCCTATCAACAGAATTTTCCTACAGCAAGCAGATTTATCAACACAGGATAAAATTCCTCCCTCCTAAATCCCAGGTTCCTGCTTGTATGTGAAGCTGGGGCATGGTCCTGCACACATTCAGAGGTTTGCTCTTCTTAGATCCAGCTTTGCTCAGATTTTATCCATATTTTTGTTGTAAAGAAAATGTTTCCTTACAAAATCTAATGTATAAATCATTTATCAGTGGCCTTCAGCACACGTGTGTCCTTTGTCCTCAGATATCAAAGTGCTGTTCCATGGACGTCAGTCCACATAGGATAACCTTGGCAGGGAGACCCAGGGAATTAATTTTTAATCACAGAATCCCAGGATGGGTAAGGCTGGAAGGGACCTCAGGGGCTCCTCTGGAGCCACCTCCCTGCTCCAGCAGGGACACCCCAGAGCACAGGATTGTGTCCCAATGGCTCTGGAATATCCCCAGAGAGGAGAGTCCAGAGCCTCTCTGCACAGTCTGCTCAGGGCTGGGCACTGCCCAGGGAGAAGCTCTGCCTCCTGTGCCAGGGCAACTGCTGGGCACAGCCCTGCCCGTGGCTCTGGGGCCACTGCTGGGCCTGCTCTGACCTCTGCACACAGGGACAGACACAGGGACACACGGGGACAGACAGGGACACACAGGAACCCACACAGGGCAACTGCTGGGCACAGCCCTGCCTGTGGCTCTGGGGCCACTGCTGGGCCTGCTCTGACCTCTGCACACAGGGACAGACACAGGGACAGACACAGGGACACAGGAACCCACACAGGGCAACTGCTGGGCTCAGCCCTGCCCGTGGCTCTGGGGCCACTGCTGGGCCTGCTCTGACCTCTGCACACAGGGACAGACACAGGGACAGACACAGGGACACACACAGGGACACACCTCGTTGTCCCTCAGGATCCCACTGGGCACTGCTGGGCAGGGACAGCTCGTTGTCCCTCAGGATCCCACTGGGCACTGCTGGGCAGGGACAGCTCGTTGTCCCTCAGGATCCCACTGGGCACTGCTGGGCAGGGACAGCTCGTTGTCCCTCAGGATCCCACTGGGCACTGCTGGGCAGGGACAGCTCGTTGTCCCTCAGGATCCCACTGGGCACTGCTGGGCAGGGACAGCTCGTTGTCCCTCAGGATCCCACTGGGCACTGCTGGGCAGGGACAGCTCGTTGTCCCTCAGGATCCCACTGGGCACTGCTGGGCAGGGACAGCTCGTTGTCCCTCAGGATCCCACTGGGCACTGCTGGGCAGGGACAGCTCGTTGTCCCTCAGGATCCCACTGGGCACTGCTGGGCAGGGACAGCTCGTTGTCCCTCAGGATCCCACTGGGCACTGCTGGGCAGGGACAGCTCGTTGTCCCTCAGGATCCCACTGGGCACTGCTGGGCAGGGACAGCTCGTTGTCCCTCAGGATCCCACTGGGCACTGCTGGGCAGGGACAGCTCGTTGTCCCTCAGGATCCCACTGGGCACTGCTGGGCAGGGACAGCTCGTTGTCCCTCAGGATCCCACTGGGCACTGCTGGGCAGGGACAGCTCGTTGTCCCTCAGGATCCCACTGGGCACTGCTGGGCAGGGACGCTCGTTGTCCCTCAGGATCCCACTGGGCACTGCTGGGCAGGGACAGCTCGTTGTCCCTCAGGATCCCACTGGGCACTGCTGGGCAGGGACAGCTTGTTGTCCCTCAGGATCCCACTGGGCACTGCTGGGCAGGGACAGCTCGTTGTCCCTCAGGATCCCACTGGGCACTGCTGGCCGGGCACAGCTCGTTGTCCCTCAGGATCCCACTTGGCACTGCAGGCCGGGCACAGCTCTTTGTCCCTCAGCACCCCCAGGTCCTTCCCCAGAGCTGCTCCAGCAGGGCCCCCCAGCCCGTGCCGCGCTGGGGTTATTCCCAGGTGCTCGGGTACTGCAGGCAGCATCCCGCCAAGGCTCCCCGGGAGCGGCCCCTCAGCGCGCAGCGCGCGGGCGCCCCCCAGCGGGCGGCCCCCGCCCTGCCGCCAGCCAATGGGAGGGCGCGAGGGCCCCGCCCCGCCGGCACCGCCACCAATGAGGAGGCCCCGCCCCGCCGAGCCCCCGGAGCGCTGAGGGCCGGTCCCACACAGACGCGGCCATGGCGGGCAAGGGGACGGAGGGGTTTCTGCCGCCCTTCAAGCACTTCGCCACCGATGCCATCCACGCCGGCCAGGAGCCCGAGCAGTGGCGCTCCGGGGCCGTGGTGCCGCCCATCTCGCTCTCCACCACCTTCAAGCAGCGGGCGCCCGGCGAGCACGCGGTGAGTGCGGCCACCACCACCGGGGCGCTGAGTCACCCGCAGCCCCGTTCCGGGCTCGGGCACATCCGGGAGGCCACGAGCGTCCGGCGTGTCCGGGCCGGGGCAGCGGGGGGCGGCAGGTGCCGGGCACGGAGGCAGCTCCCGGCGCGGATGTTCCCCCGGGGCGCTCCTGGGCAAACGCGAGCATCTCGCTGGGCCGGGAGCGGGGCTCTCGCCCGGGCGGGCGGCGGAGTCTCCTGCCGGGGACACGGCAGAGCCCCTGCCCGCGATGCCGTGCCCTGCGCTCCGGGGTGGCCCTGCCGAGCAGCGATGGGGCCGCAGGAGCCGCTGTGGTTCCTTGCAGCCTGAGCCAGCCCGGGCTCGGTGTTCCCGCAGCGGGCGGCCATCCGGAGCGGTTTGGGATGAGGCTGGGATGATTCCCGTGTGCCAGGCGGGGGAAGGGGAGCAGGGAGCGCCCGGTGCCCCCGGGCTCGTGGAATGCTGCTCCCGGCCCGGGCAGAATCCCTGTTCCACTACACACACTTTGTGTAAGAGTCTGCTTCGGTTTTCCTTCCAAACCGAGGGAATATTTCCTAAGGATTTTGTGGATGCCCTGTAGAAAGTGCTGGAAAGGTTTTACGGGACGTGGCACAAAGCTGCCACTCCTAAATCAGCACCTGCTCCAAACTCGCGCTGTGCTGGTCGGGCAGGAGGAATTTGCCTTGTGATTCCTCATTCCACACAGAATCCCAGCTGTGCTGAGGAGGCCCTCAGGAGGAGTCACGCTGCTGTATCCACATCCTGATGACAGGATCCATGCTCTTGCCGGGAGCTCTGCCAGAGCGATCTGCAGGATTCCTGACTATGAGGAAGTTGACATTAAAGAGAAACCCTAAAAGCAGGCAAATCCCAGGGTGCTCAGCAGGTTCTCTTGGTAACAACTGCATCTGTGCATGCATGAGTGGTATTTTCCTCATTAAATTCCCCTAGAATTTGCATAAAAACTGTGGCACTGGGAAACGTGTGGATTGTCAGGAACTGACGAGAGGAGTTGTCCAGTGCCCTGTGGGTGTGATGGAGATGGACACACGTTTTTCCTGAGAATTCCCCCCAGACAGGCTGAGGAGTCTCCCTCTCTGGAGATACCCAGAACTGTCTGGACACCATCCCGTGCCCTGTGCCCTGGGATGGCCCTGCTGAGCAGGGAGTGGGAGCAGGGCACCCTCGTGGTCCCTTCCAGCCTGACCCAGCCTGGCATGCTGAGGGTGGTGGGACTGTGCAGCCCGAGCCCTTTGTCCCACAGTGGCCACAGAAGGATGTCTGGGAGAGGCAGGAGAATGTGGCTCCTTGCCCCAGGGCAGCCCTGGCCCCTTTCTCCAGCAGGGATGCCCAGCTGGGTGTTGTGCCAGGACACCCTCCTGCTGCTCTGGGAGGAGCTGGGTGCCCTCAGCCAGGGCTCTTTAAGGAACCCAGAACTGTTGTGATTTTACAATTTCCTGTGCTCTCTCTGATGTTTGTTTCTTATTCCCACCCCAGGGTTATGATTACATCCGGTCTGGGAACCCCACTCGGGATTGCCTGGAAAAGGCTGTGGCCACCCTCGATGGAGCCAAATACAGTGAGCACCTCATGGGCTGGACGGGGCTTGGAGCAGCCTGGGACAGGGGCAGGGGTGGCACTGGGTGGGCTTTGGGGTCCCTCCATCCCAAACCCTTCCATGGTTCTGTCACCACGGCTCTGGCTGTTGGCTGTGGGCAGGAGCAGCTCCACGGTGGGGAAGAGCCCAACACTTGTGGTGCAGGAATGTCCAGCTCCATCCCTGGCTTTGTCTCCTGCTTCCTCATGTGGCTGATGCCTGGGCTGGGCTGGATCCATCCTTGTGCAGCAGCACTGGAGGCAGTGGGAGCAGGCAGCCCCTGGCCCCGGTCCGTTCCCAGCGAGTCCCCAGTCCGTTCCCAGTCTGCCCCGGTCCGTTCCCAGTCTGCCCCGGTCCATTCCCAGTCTGCCCCGGTCCATTCCCAGTCTGTCCCAGTGTCCATGCTGGTTCCATGCTGTGCACATCCATCTCCTGCTCTCACTGGCTCCACGTTCCCAGTCAGGCAGTGACAGGACAGGTTCTTTTCAGAGGCCGAGGGAGGAAGGCCAAGGCAAGTCTGACTTGTTGTGTCACATCAAACACTGATGATCCTTTCTCCTCCAGGCTTGGCTTATTCCTCTGGCTTAGCAGCTCTTTTGAACATCTGTCACCTCCTGAAGGCAGGGGACACGGTTATCTGCATGGATGATGTCTATGGAGGTGGGTACAGCACCCAGGGGCTTCAGCCTTCTTTGTGCAGGGGCTCAAACCTGCCTGTGGCTCTCAGGAACCCTGAATTTCCCGTGTAGGACCTCACTGCTCTTTGCAGGCTGTTTTTATCAATCCCCTCTTCCTCACAAGTGCCCGTGCAGAGTGCACCCAGCTCTGCCAGAGTCCTGCTCTGAGCAGGGTGAGCTCACCCCAGCTCTGGGAACTTTCCCCTGCTCCTTGGAGCCTCAGCCTGGGCTGCTTCCTGCAGGGCTGAATTTCCTTGCTCCTCCTCGGGCTTGGTTTGTTATCAAGAAAGGGTTTCCCACCAAAGAACCCCCAAACATCACTCAGATGTTTCCTTCAGCTCACAGAATCCACCTCCATGTTCCATCCCTTCCTGCTCGGGTGGAAAACTGAGTCCCTGGGGATCACCTTGGCAGGAGGACCCAGTCAATGAATTTTCAATCCAGGCAGTGTTTCCAGTGGGAGTGCTGCACATCCATGGATCTCCTGTTGCTGCTGGATTCTTTGAATCCTCCCAGGGAAAGGCTTCAAAGACAGGAAGGAATCATTTTATTGGAGTGCTGGGAAACAGCAGCTGGAGTCTGCCCCTTGTTTCTTCTTCTGTTTAACTTCCTGATCTTAAACCCCACAGTGATTTCAAGTACTTCCTAAATCACTCTGATCCCATCTTCCCATTATTACTATTTCATGATCACTCAAGCTGCAGCAATATTCAAACTTGGTAAATAAAGAAAGTATAAATGTGCCACTGATGGTGTGCAGCATAAAGCTGTGCCCTCCTGACTGTCCCTGCACGATGCAGGAGGGTGGAGAGCAGGGAATGAAAGTTAAGGAAGTTGTTTCATTTTGTGACTTTTGTTTTTTCTTAGGCACGAGAGAATTATTTGAAAAATTAGAAGAGGAGTTTAATTTGAAAGTGGTATATATTGACTGCAGAGACCAAAAAAAGCTGGAAGATGCAATTAGACAAGAGACCAAGACCAAGGTAGGGGAGAGGGAAATGTATTTTAAAGGGATGTTAAATTGTTTTATCCCTGCTCCTGTTGGGTTTGGGGGTGTGTTGAGCTGAGGGAGGGCAGCCTGGGGCACAGCTGGATCCACCATATCCCACGGTGCTGCCTCCTGGAAAGCATCCCAAGAAGGGCAGAAAGCCCTGGAGAGAGAGGAGGGAACAGGGAAAAGGTGAGGAAGAGCAGAGGGAATGCAGAGCTGGGGGTGCTCCATGGCACTGCTGGGTGATCCCTGCTCCAGGGAAGGGAACTGTGCTGGGAAAGGCTTTGGGAAGGCTCTGTCCTGGCTGGGTGATCCCTGATCCCTGCCCCAGGGAAGGGAACTGTGCTGGGAAAGGCTTTGGGAAGGCTCTGTCCTGGCTGGGTGATCCCTGCCCCAGCTGGGATGCCCTGGGATGGCACAGGCCCAGCTGGAGGAAACCTCCCTGAGCTTGGAGGAAGCAGCTGGAGCCTCCCCTGGCTCTGGCTGGGCCACTGCCTGTCCCCAGTGCACAACCCCAGGGAGCTGCCAGCCCTGAGCACCCAGAGCCCCTGGGACTCAGCCCAGCCCTGGGAAGTCTCTGACCTGGAGTTTTTTTGGGTTTGTGCAGCTGGTTTGGCTGGAGACCCCCACGAACCCCACGCTGAAGGTGATCGACATCAGAGCCTGTGCAGACATCGTGCACAGGCACCCGGGGGTGCTGCTGGCCGTGGACAACAGCTTCATGTCTGCCTACTTCCAGGTGTGTCACCTGCCCCAGGGCAGGTGGATTGGGAAAGGGATGGGAAAGGCATTATATCAGATCTGTTTCCCAGGAGACCAAGCTAAGCCCTGGTGCTGCAGATTTAAAGTCACCCTTTTTGCAGAGTGCAAAGTGCCTGGTTTTGTTCAGGGTGCTGTGATCTTGCTGAATGAAGAGAACTCTGCAGAAAGTGTTAATGCTTAGCTCAAGCAGCTCTGCAGTTCACCTGGGACATGCCAGAGGCTTGGGGATTTGCCCTGCTGTGTGTTGTTCACTTCAGAATTCCCAATTTCCTCCAGAAAGGGCTGTGGAAGAGCACAGGGTGCTGGTTAATGTGTCTGGGGCAGTCCGGTGTAGAAGGAAAGACAGTGCTAATGATTAATTGGTGGGAGCAGTAGGTGAGGTATCACACTGGGCTGACAAAAGGAGAATTCCACAGTGTCCTGTCCATCAACATTGAGAGTAAAAGGCCTTTTCCCTGAGGGTTCTGGCTGGGCATCTCCACATTCCCTGGGTGGGAGTCCGTGTTTAATGTGGCAGCAGCAGTCTTGGCATCTGCCTGCTTTGTTAAGTTTTAACTTTAACAGTGATGCCCCTCAGTCTTCAGAATGTGCTGATACCTTGGGCAAAGTGCCTTAATTAGTGATTGATTAAAAATCTGGCACTGCTCAGCAGCTCTTGGCCATCCACCTCCTGGTTTGTCTCACCTCAGGAGGCTCCTGGGCAGGGAGCTGGGAGCTGAGGGGAGAGAGCTGCCACAGGAACCTCCTTTGCTCGTGTTCTCAGCTCCTCCAGGGCAGGGCTGCAGCACCTGGAGAGCAGAGCAGTTCTTGAGCTTTGCAGTGGGGTCCTTCATTCCCATGGCAATGCTCTTTGTGGGGTCAGTGCCATGGTTTGTCCCTGCCTCAGCTGAGCAGCAGAGCTGTTTCTTCCCAGCTCTGCTCTGTGTGTTGGATGTGCTCAGTCTCTTCTCTCCTGGAGCCTGTGGGAGTTGGAGCAGTGCTTTTAAATCACATTTTCTTGTGCTTACCTTGAATCCAGAGTGCCCCTCTGTAGTGCTGCTTTTAGCACATGTCCTATTGCCATCCTCAGGTTTTTGTGTTTGTTTCTCCCTTGTTTTTGCTGTGTGAGCTCAGAGC